GATGGTAGTTCTTTTGTTTTTTGATTCTCTATCATACTCCAACAATGGAGCTTTTATACCTATTCCTCTCTTCTCAGTACCTCAATGTCACCTTTACCCAGTGGTATGCTAGAACCAACTGGTAGCTAATAAGAACTTATTATTAAATCTTTACTGCTAATATTTATACCTCAGAAATGGGCAAGTGTTACAAATCAGGGTTTTTTTTTATTTCTTTGATTATCTGTACTTAAGAAAATGATAGAGAAAATGTTATTAAGGCAGATAAAACACAAAAATGTATGTTACTGGTATATATATATTTTGGAGAGCTAGTTGTTAAGTATTTACCAGCATGCCATTGCCCCACCCTTTGTATCATAGCATATGAGATTCTCAATATTTACTAAGAAAACTGAGGCCATCTTTTCTTCTGCCCTTCATTTTTGTTACTTTCTCCTGACATTTTCACCCAATCTCTCCTACTCTGAACCAGTTTTTGAAGTAAAAGTAGTTTCTTTTTGCCAATGAAATTGTGTTCTATTGTGTCCTATTTGTGCACTGGATCTCATTCCCTCTCTTCTGGTCTAGGGTCTTGTCCCTTTTATCCCTCTCTTTATCACTTTCAATCTCTCCTTATTTTCTGGCTACCTCCCTGCTGAGACCCATCATATCCAATTTTTTTTTAGCCCTAAATGGGACTTTATTTTTTTGATTGGATTTATGTAGGCATGAAAAGAGGTACATTAAAGTCTCCAACTATTATAGTTTTATGCCCTATTTCTTCCTATAATTTGATTAGGGTTTATTTTAGGTACTTAGGTGCTATACAATTTGATGAACATTTGTTAATTATTATATTATTCCACTGTCTATGATGCTTTTAAGTATAATATAATTTCTGCCTTTACCTCTTTAACCTACATCTGGTTTTATTGTTTCTTTTTTCTTTTTTAAATTTTAAATTTTATTAGTTTATTTTGATTTATCAATAATCACTTCCGTATGCTTTTGAGTTTAAAATTTTTCTCCCCCTTCCTTCCACCACCCTCCCAAGACAGAACACAATCTGATATAGGCTATACATTTACATTTCTATTAAACATTTTCACATTAGTGAAGTTGTAGGTAAAAATTAAAACCAATAGGAGGAACCACCAGAAAGAGGAAACAAAACTCAACAGAAGAGAAAAAAAATGATAGCGATTCAGCTTCTATAGTTCTTTCCTTGGATGTGGATAGCATTTTCCATCACGAGGCCTCTGGAGGTGTCTTAGATCCTTGTAATGCTGAGAAGGGTTAAGCTTATCAACATTAGTCATCGCACAATGTGGCTGTTATTGTGTACAAAGTTCTCTTGGTTCTGCTCACTTCACTCAGCATCTGACCATATAAGTCTTTCCAGGTTTTTCTGAAGTCAACCTGTTCATCATTTCTTACAGCACAATAGTATTCCACTACATTCATATACACAGCTTACTCAGCCATTACCCAATTGATGGGCATCCTCTCAATTTCCAATTCTTTGCTACCACAAAAAGAGCTGTTATGAATATTTTTGTACATGTGGGGCCCTTTCCCATCTGTATGATCTCTTTGGAATACAGCCCTAGAAGTGCTATTGCTGGATCAAAGGGTATGCACATTTTTGTAGCCCTTTGGGCATAGTTCCAAATTGTTCTCCAAAATGGTTGGATCATTTCACAACTCCACCAACAATGCATGAGTGTTCCAATTTTCCCACATCTTCTCCAACATTTATCATTTTCCTGTTTTGTCATGTTGGCCATTCTGATAGGTGTGATGTGGTACCTCAGAGTTGTTTTGATTTGCATTTCTCTAATCAATAATGATTTAGAGCATTTTTTCATATGACTATAGATGGCTTTAATTTCTTCATCTGAGAACTGTCTGTTTATATCCTTTGACCATTTATCAATTGGGGAATGGCTTGTGTTCTTATAAATTTGTCTTAATTCTCTATATATTTTAGAAATGAGGACTTTACAGAGAGACTGGTTGTAAAAATTCTTTCCTAATTTTCTACCTTCCTTCTAATCTTAGTTGCGTTGGCTTTGTTTGTGCAAAAACTTTTCAATTTCATGTAATCAAAATTATCCATTTTGCTTTTCATAATGTTCTCTCTCTCCTGTTTGGTCGTGAATTCTTCTGTTCTCCATAGATCTGATAGATAAACTATTCCTTGTTCTCCCAGTTTGCTTATAGTATCAGCCTTTATATGTAAGTCAATGAACCCATTTATTTTGGTATATGGTGTGAGATTTGGGTCTATGCTTAGTTTCTGCCATACTCTTTTCCAGTTTTCCCAGCAGTTTTTTTCAAAGAGTGGGTTCTTATCCCAGAAGCTGGGGTCTTTGGGTTTATCAAATAATAGATTACTATAGTCATTGACTACTGTGTCTTGAATATTTAAGCTATTCCATTGATCCACCACTCTATTTCTTAGCCAGTACCAAGCAGTTTTGATGATTGCTGCTTTATAATACAATTTAAGATCTGGAATTGCTAGGCCACCTTGCCCTGCATTTCTTTTCATTAATTCCTTTGATATTCTGAAACTTTTGTTCTTCCAAATGAATCTTGTTATTATTTTTTCTAACTCTATAAAATAATTTTTTGGTAGTTTGATTGGTATGGCACTGAATAAGTAAATTAGCTTAGGTAGGATTGTCATTTTTATTATATTAGCTTGGCCTACCCATGAGCAACTGATGTTTTTCCAATTATTTAGATCTGATTTTATTTGTGTGAAGAGTGTTTTGTAATTGTGTTCATAGAGTTCTTGAGTTTGTTTCGGTAGATGGTTTTATTGTTTCTTGTTTGAGATATTGTTACTCTTGCTTTTATGAGTTTACCTGAATTCTATTTTGTTCCTTTATTTTAATTGTAGGTATTTTTATTTCTAGTGTGTTTCTTGCAAACTATGTTTTGGATGCTGCTTTTTAATCCATTGTGCTGTCTTCTTCTGTTTTATGGACAAGTTTATATCATTCATATTAATTATTATGATTATTAATTATACATTTCCCTATGTCATATTCTCTTATACATTTTCCTGCCTTCCTCCTGGCCTTCACTCCTTTCTTTACCAAGAAGAAAGTGGTGAAAGACATAGAATGTGATCTATAAGTGAAGTGATCTGTTTTCACTCCATTGCTACTCCATTGTTCCCCTCCCTAGATCCTGATCACTGGCTCATCATTTGTTTTATTTCCGTTCAACTTCTCCATCAAAAGTAAAGTACAATCAAAGCTTAGAGAGATATAGGATTCTTGGCTCACTAAAAAGACAGATGAAATTCAATTTCATACTGATAGCAGCAATCCAAAGCACTTCTATAATGCCCTTAAGACTATTCATGGGTCAAAGATCTCTGGTGCATCTCAACTATTCAGCATTGATGGAGCCAAACTGATCAGTGATAAGGACATGATCCTAGAGAAGATGGGCTAAATACTTGCTTTTACAGTGTTCTCAACCAATGCTGAAATCATTGACCATATGCTCAGGTCGAAGTCAGTACTTCTCTAGCTAAACTTCCAACTGAAGAAGAGGTTTTGAATGTCATTAAGATCCTCTCATGTGGTGAAGTGTCTGGTGCTGATTCTATTCCATCAGAGATTTATAAGGCAGGGGGTCCACTGCTTATACAAAAGTTGACTGAAATCTTCTGTGTTACATATGGCAAGATGAGTTTATCCCCCAAGAGTTCAAGAATGTCTCCATTATCCATCTCTATAAAAGAAAAGGAAATAAATTGTCCTGTGACAATCACAGGGAAGTCTTTCTTGGTCATTGTTGGCAAAATTCTTGCCAGAGTCTTCCTTAATAGGCTGATCCTTCACCTGACAGATGGTCATCTACCTGAAAGCCAGTGTGGCTTCAGAAAGGGTGAAGGCGCGGTTGATGTGGTGTTTGCTGCCTGACAACTCTAGGAGAAATGCCAGGAGCAGAACAGAGGCCTGTATACAATATTCATCAATCTGATAGAGGCTTTTGACATTGCCCAGAGAAGTTCATCAGTATTGTATGCCAGTTTCATAATGGCATATTTGCATGGCTTTTGGATAATGATGCTCTTATGCTTTCTCAGTCACCAATGGAGTGAAGTAGGGCTGTGTGCTTGCTTCCATGCTTTTTAACATGTTGTCTTCAGCAAGTCAAATGTAGTGATTCAAATGATCATACCTCCTCCTCCAGCAATTTCTCATTGATTTATCAGTGAGTGCAAACATTTGTTGCATCCCCTTGAAGCATATGTTCATCTTTAGAAGAAATACGTGATGTTATCTAAGCTGCTTACTCCTTTTACTCTCAGTGACTATGAAAACATCACAAAATAATTGATTATTAGAGCTGGGCACTAAACAAATTTATATTCTCATTCTGAATTTTTCCTGAGAATAAACTTGATGGGTTGGATCTGGACCCAGAAAAGAAAAACTCTGGGTGTTCTCACAGGGCCAAATCTCTGGTTCACCTGAGGTTATAATCCTGGCTTTTCATTGTGGCTATGCCTAATCTCTCAATTCTCTGTTATATTTAACCTAGCCTAGCCCTCCATTGTCTTATCTCCCTATGGCCCCTGGCCACTTCCCATCCTTAATCCTAGCTATGCTCTATTCTCCCTTGGCCAGGTGGTCCAGGTCCCTGGCATTCTATTACCACACAGTCCCTCAGACTACTTGGCCACTCCTGGATCTCTCCCACAGTCTTTCTGTATATAAGGTCCATCTTGTCTCCATTAAGGTGCTCAGATTCTTAAAATCTAGCCAATAGCCCCCTAACTTTAAGATTCCTAAGAGTCTGGCCAATATGGCAGATGTTCTAATAAACCTTGTCTTTGGCTGAAAGAAGGCTGTGGTTGAATTCTTTCAAGCAGGACCTGTGTGTCATGATTTTGGGGTTCCACCACCCCTAAACTCCCAAACCTCAACATAATGATATGCTTAGTTTTAGTATTTCAGCCTAAAAATAAGATATTTTCATTTTACCACTAGGTTTGCAATTGGACATCTATGAAGGCCAGATCACTGCAATACTTGGTCACAGTGGAGCAGGAAAATCAACACTGCTAAATATCCTTAGTGGACTGATTGTTCCAACAGAAGGTGAGAAATTAATTTCCCCAAGGCAAAGTGTACAAAAGGTTGTTTTGCATTCAAAATATGTATGTGAAGAGGTTGCATGACTTGGTAGAAATAGCCCTACACAAAGCATCTGAAGCACAGAAGTCCATATCAGAAAAACTGTGGGGTCTCTGCACAACTCAGGTGGGGGATAAGATGGAGGTGGACCAAGCTAGGTGTTGGGATGGCATTAAGAGTGAGACACAAGTAATTTGGAGAGGGAACCTCATATTTGTCAATGATCACAAAAGGCTTCATAAAGAATCATTGGTTCCTATTATCTTTTGATGATTCTCCATAAAATTAGTGTAGTCTGAGAGTGTTCACTCTGAGCTAACCCTAACCCTAATCCCCTCAGGGGGATTCTTAGTAGGGCCATCAATTATTATTAAGACATGTGCATTCTTATATTTCTTTACATGTGATTTTGTCAATAAATCACAATCTATCTATGCCATAGTAGATAAATCTAAGGAAGCTGCCTGAGGCACCTGGACTTTAAATCTTTGGACAAGTGCTCAAGGTCATCTGTGTAGTAAATGACAGGGACATTGAACCCAGGCAATCCTTACCCCAAACCCAGAACTCTAATGACTACACTGCACTAATTCTACTATCAGGTCATTCAAGGCTTAATCAGGAAGAATCTGGTCAGCTTTTTAGGATGAAGTTGACGAGAAGATTTAGATCAGGATAATTACATGAAAAGAAATCAATGCTGCTGGCAACAAGAACAAAAAAATCAAAGGCTTTGTGGCATGAGTTTTCAAGTTATCTAAAAGAAGAAAGATTCTGGGGGGAAAAAAAGGAAAAAAATATTACTATAGCCAAAAAATGATGGCCAAGAAAATATCATCAATCACATACCAATCATAAGAATGCTTGACTGATGAGATTATCCTTGAGGGTAACATAGAAAAGCTTTCTTGTGCTAATTTTTTTTTTTTGGTTAGGCAACTGGGGTTAAGTGACTTGCTCAGAGTCACATAGCTAGTAAGTGTCAAGTGTTTGGTTTGAGGCTGGATTTGAACTCAGGTCCTCCTGACTTCAAGGCCAGTGCTCTATCCACTGCACCACCTAGCTGCCCCTTCCTGTGCTATTTGAAAAATAGCACATCTCTTCTTCATAGAATATATGTAGTAAGAGATCTCCACCCCCCTTCTCCATCCCTCTCCTCCATGCCTCTCCCCATGAACAAACGCCAGACTGACAAAGTATTTTTATGTTATTCAATGAGAAAATATTTGTAAAAAGAACTTAGTATAGTGCCTGGTACATACTAGGTGTTATTTAAATGCTTATTCCCTTCTCTGCCCCCTACCCTTATCTCTGTTTAAACTTCTACTTATAGGCTCAGCTACCATCTATGACAACAAACTGTTGGACAAGGCAGATTTGGAAGAAATCAGAAAGATAATTGGTGTTTGTCCACAATTCAATGTACAATTTGACTTCCTCACCATGAAAGAAAACCTCAGGCTATTTGCTGAAATTAAAGGGATTCAGCCACAGAAGGTGGAACAAGAGGTAGGAGCATGTTAGGCTTGGTATGATGGAGATGGAAACTATTCATATAAGGAAAGCTGATTCTATTTCTGCCCAAATATCCATCTGCAATTAAATTATGATAAGTTTGGGCAAGAAAGTCCAACAAAAAGTTTTTCCACGTTTAATGGTGAGCATAAAGAAAACAGCTTAAGCCAAGGAGTCTCTGGTTTTCAAATTTGGTCTACTCTTTTGATTAGGTACAAAGAGTTGTTATGGAATTGGAAATGAAAAACATTCAAGACACCGTTGCAAAAAACCTAAGTGGTGGACAAAAAAGGAAGCTGACCTTTGCGGTGGCCATTTTAGGAGATCCTCAAGTAAGAAAAGTTGCAATTGCAGATGATTCATAGAAGAATCTAATGCTATTGCTACAAGTTCATGCTCTTCTTTTTATTAAATATAGATAAGGTAGAAACTATATGAAAATGCAATTTAAAAATTAAAAGTCCAACTGAAAAACATGTTTCATAATTTCTGTGTCTCTGAAAAAACTTCACTTGGAATGGGAAAGTGCTTTTTAACCCCCACAGGTTTTGTTGCTGGATGAACCAACTGCTGGATTGGATCCCTTTTCAAGGCATCAAGTATGGGATCTCCTAAAAGAACATAAATCAGAAAAAGGGATCCTCTTGAGTACACAGTTCATGGATGAGGCTGATATACTGGCTGGTGAGTTGCTTTCCTATTGTTCTCATATTAAGAATTTGTGTGAGCAGTTAGTCTCACCTAAGGTGAACTGAGAACTGAACTGAGAACTGAAATGAAAGACATCAAAAGAATCTGGGATTGGCAGGGTGTAGGAGACATGCCTGGTGTTACAATTATTTCTACACATTGTGTGTCTACTTTATGGTAGCACTTCGAATCTCAGTGAATACTGCTCCCACTGTAACAAGGCAAATAATTTATTGTAAATATTCTTGACAGGCTACACTAGATGGGAATGTTTTATTTTCCCCAGAGCTGTCAGACTTTATATTTGAGCTATTAAAAAACCCGGGACACACTGATATGTATTCATTTGAAAAATGAAGTTATTTGCTAAGTTTAAGGTCTGTTCTCCAAAACAATTTTGATGAAACAACAACAGCAAAAGGTTATAGAAGACATAGAAACAGCCAAGAAGTCATAACCAAACATTGAATACATCAGTTTCAATGACTGCCTACTTAAATCCTGAATTTTAAATTTTAATTTTTACATTAAATGCAGTGAGACCACATAGTCCATTATATATCAGCATGTCAGTGAATCACCTAGCTCATTATTGTTTCTTTAAAGTAAATGGAAAAGATCCTAACTTACTTTCTCATTCACTTCTTTCTTCTCAGATAGGAAAGTATTTATGTCCAATGGACAGTTGAAGTGTGCAGGTTCTTCTCTGTTTCTGAAGAAGAAATGGGGGATTGGATATCATTTAAGGTATAGCATTTTGGAAAAAATCTATGGGAATATATACTGGCCATACTGCTATAACAAAAAAGTATAAGCAAGTGAATTCTAAATAAGGCACATTCTTTGGGCACCTACTATGTGTACAGCACTGATTTAGGTTTAGATAAGACATAAGACTTAGATAAGATACCTTGCTCACATGGAACTTTGAAGCTAGTTGGAGTAGGGGTGGGGAGGGGTGGTATAGATGTTCTTACAGAACTATGTGGAGTAAGGTAGAAACAATTAGCCAGGTGATAGAGAGCAAGTCTATGAGTAAATACCAGATCCATATCACATGAAGACAATGACAAATGTGGAAAAATATTACTTTTGTGTATATACACACACATATACATATTTATACACATATACATATATGAAAAAATACAAAAGAAAAACAAAGAAAAGAAAAGAAATTCTCACTGGGAAAATCTTGCAAAAAAAAAACCCTAAAGGAAAAAAAGTAAAGTTAGAACAGAAGTAAGATATTTGAAGGAAGAATTCAAGATTACAAGCTTAAGCATTGACAAAGAAAGCACAATGAAAAAGCTAAATGAAATAACGGACTCTCGTACAAGTAACATAGCTCATACACAAAACAATGTTGACACAAAAAAACCCCACAACAGAACAAATCAAAATATGATAAAACTGGTTAAAAAGTCAAAAAACCCAAAACATCTCATATTTCTATAAGCCAAAATTAGTTAAGACAATCTAAATATTATTAATCTCCAAGAACAAAATGTGAAGAAACAAAGAATCTGAATGCCATATTCTAGGAAATCATGTAAGAAAATTGCTTAAACATGTTGGAAACAAAGGACAAAGTTCAAAAAGACAGAATTCAGAGAACACTAACTTTAACAGACTAAGAAATGTAGTTACCAGTTTCTGGAGTATCATGCTAAAGGAGAGACTTTTGAAAGCATCCAAGAAAGAAAAATTCACATGAACACAGACCATTTTAAATTACTTAAGAGTATTCAGTGAGGAAAAGAAATTAAAAAAAAGTAGAATGTGACTTTTTTCAAAGTAATGACAATTTCCCCCATATTATTATCTTTCAGCAAGGTCACAAACTTTTGTTTTTTCATGATAAGATTTCAGAACTGGGCAGGAAATCTGCCGTGTAAATTGGCCAAGTAAGTGAAACTTAAAGGATGTAATCTTGAATTGAACACAATAAAAGAGTAAACGTTATATATTTAGAATAAATTAAGGGTAATCTCAGAGGGGAGGCCCTAAGATTAAGGAGGCCCAAGAAAATCTTCTTGCAGTAGGTAAGACATCATCTGTGATTGGAAGAGAGCCAGGGAAGCCAGAAAGCAGAGACAAGAAAGGCCAGCACTCTAGGCATAGAGAATAACAAGTGAAAATGTTCTTAAGAGATGTGACGTCAAGTACGAGGAACAAGAAGATTGAAGGGGAGTAAGGTGTAAGAAGACTGGAAAGGTAGGAAGGAGGCAGACTATGATAGACTTTCAAAACCAGACAGAAAACTTTTTATTTGATTCTGGAAGTAATAGGGAGCCATTGGAATTTATTGAATTGTAAGGCAGGGAGGTGAAAAAAAGGAAGGGGGAAGCAATGATATATACAGCCCTCTGCTTCAGAAAGATCACTTTGACAGTGGAATGAAGGATGGATTTGAATGTGAAGAGACTTGAAGCAGGGAGACCAACCAACAGGTTATTACAGCACACCAGCTTTGAGGGCCTGCATCAGGTTGATTTCAATGTCAGAGGAGAGAAGGGAGCATTTGCAAGTGATTTTGTGAAAGTAGAAATGATGACTTGACAATTGATTGGGTGGGGGGATGAGGAGTTGAGGATGATTTCTAGGTTGTGAGCATGGGAGGATGGTAGTACTCTCAACAGTAAAAAGGGAATTAGGGACAAGGGAGAGTTTTAGGGAAAAGACAATGAGTTTAGTTTTAGACATTTTGAATTTAGGATGTCTATGAAACATTCAGTTTGAGATGTCTTGAGATGGCAGTTGAAGATGTGAGGCTGGAAGTCAGTCTGGAAGTTAGCACTGGGTAAGTAGATCTTAGAATCATCTGCATAAAGATAATTATTGAAACTCTGGGTGCTGATGAGATCATCAAGTAAAATAATATAGAGGGAGAAGAGAAGAGAACCTGGAAAGGAGCTTTGTGGGTCTCCTACGGTTGGTGGGTATGAGATGGATGAATATCTAGCAAAGGAGACAGAGGAGTGGTCAGACAGTTTGGAGGGAAACCAGGAGAGAGAAGCATCATGAAAACCTGGAGATAAGAGAGTATCAAGAATAGGGTAATTGATAATATCAAATGCTACAGAAAGATCAAGATGGATAAAAATTGAGGTCAATTAAGAAATCTAATGATTTCTAATGTCACTAATGTAAGTAATGTTACCTTGGAGGGATCACTTTCAGTGAAATGATGAGGTCAGAGGCCAGACTATGAAGAGTTAAAAACAGAATGAAGGGAAAAGTGGGGGCATCTACTTTAGATAGTCCTCTCAAGGAGTTTAGTCATAAAACTGAATAGAAATATAGGGTAATAATTAGCAGAGATGGTTGGATCAAGTGAGAGTTTTTTGAGTATGATGGAAACATGGACATGTCTGTAGGCCTGCCTCTAGTCAGTAGGGAGGTAGCCAGTACATAGTGCTCTTTGTATCTGACTAGTGTCCCTTACTGTACAATCTGTCTCTTATTCATTTGCAATATTTTCTATTCAGTCTGGTGATTCTGGAGCTTGATGACCATATTTTTTGATGAGATATGTCTAGGATTCCTTTCTGGTGGTGACTGAGTAATATATAAATTTATATTTTGCCTTTGGGTTCAATACAACTCAGCAATTTTATTTTAGGATTTCCTCAATAGGTTATTCAAATTCCTGGTTTTATCATGTTCTCTTGGTAAATGGAAGGTTCTTAGATTCTTTCCACAACCTGTTCTCCAGGTCAGTCATTTTTGATGGTAGCTATCTCTTATATTCTTCCAGTTTCCCTCTATTCATTGTACTCTGCTTCTTCTTATATCATTGAATATTTAGGTGCTTTCTTATCCATTTCTTTTTTTTTCAAGGTGTCTACTGCTTTCCATGTTTTCCAGCTTCTGCTCTATGCTACCTATTCTCCTTTAGAGATTTTTTTCATTCACAGCTTTAATTACAGTTCCCATACCATAATCCAATTCTTTTATCTCATAATCATTTTTGTCATATTATGGGTTTCTTTATTATATTATTAATTTGTATTTGCTTGTGCATTTCCTCAGTCTCTCTGCACTGCTTGCCTCTCCCTTTCTGAGAAATTCTTTGATCCATTCAGGGAATTTCTTTTCTTATTTTCACTATTAGTTGTTGGAGTTTTTCTTTTAAGTTTCTTTGGTGTATTTCTTGTCTAATTCTGGTGAGGGATATCTGGACATGCACACTGCCTCTCAGCTCCTTTACTACAAAATTTCATAATCACTTTTTTATGTTGTTTTACTTAATTGTTTTCAGGGATTGTATCTTTGTGAAGACTCAAGTGGAAATATGTTGGTAGTTTGCATAATAAGTTAACTAAAAAATTTTCAATTTTTAAAAACATAATTACATTATAAAAATACAAAATAAACTGCTATGTGAATGACAGTAGATTCTTTGCTCCAAGTGGATGCAACCAGAGAAGGCTTTGTGAAGGAAGTAGCATTTCAGTTGGATTTTGAAAGATCAAAAGGAATTCGAGTGGTACATAGGGAAGAGAAGAAAGGACATTCTTTTTTACCCCAAATTATCAGGCAACATTCATGTTTCATAAAATACTTAATGAATACCTATACAGGATCATAGAGTCAGTTGATCAAAGATTTAACTCTAAAAGGATAATAATACTGAGTGGGAAGAGTCCTGTAAGCATAAGGAAGATGGGGGTGGGGGTGAAGGTTGAACTGAATGATTTCTAAACCCCCTTCTAAGAATGGGATTATGTCACATGGCTGTGATTTGTATGTCAATAAATCTGAAAAATAGGTTATAGATTTCTCTAAATCGGTGACAAGGACATTTTATTTGTATCATTCATAAAACCTAGTAAAATGATATATACAAATAGACATTAAATTCTTTTTTTCAAGGTTGTGGTGGTAAGTACACAATATTAACAAATTGCTTTTTTGTTTTAACAAAACCATCAGTTTGCACAGGAATGAAAACTGTGACTCAGAGACAATAACATCTCTTGTTAAACATCACATCCCTGATGCCAAATTAAGGGAAGAAAGTGAAGAAAAGCTTGTGTATACTTTGCCCTTTGAAAGGATGGATAAATTTCCAGGTAACTTACTACGTAGAATGTCTTCCAGTAGTGTCATTGTGTGTTTTTTTCCAGCTTGGTCTACACTATCTGGAACCTGGGTATTGTGTCTGGCCTTTGCTATGCCTAAACTATCTTTCTCACCTCTTGTTGGGGCCTCAACTGAAGTCCTCCATTGAAGTGGTGCCACTTGGGCTCTTCCATCTTTTAGTTCTACCTCATCAGACTAGGGAAAAGTTTGATTTTTCCCTACATAAGGAAAGAGAACTTTCAATTTAAAGAGTCAGTTTCCAGGGGCCAAACTCTTTTGGAATACATCATCATTTAATTAAGGACTACAGATATTTAGTCTGTCTTTCAAGCTTCCTATTGAATTGCAGTGAATTACACTGTCAGAAAGCTATCTGATTTAGAATTGTAAATTCTGTATGTAGAGAGAGAGAAATTTAAGCTCCACTTCTATTTCTATTTAGTTGTGGCCTTTTCATCAAGGTCTGAAAAATCTTCCATTTCATTAAATCTCCTTATTCTTTCTGCACTTTTACATTCAGTTTTGACAGATATTTTGGTTATAAGGCCTTAACTTTTGTTTTTTGGAATATTGTGCTTCTAGTTCTCCTATTCTTTATCATGGTAGCTGCCAACGTTTTGTGATCAAAACTGTGGTTCCTTGGTATTTGATCTTTTTAATTTTCACAACTTGGAGCATTTGTTCCTTGGGCCTAGATGTTCTGGGTTTGGGCTATGACATTACTGAGAGTTTTCATTTTGATAATTCTTTCTGGAGGTGACTGCTGGATTCTTTCTAGTTTCACTTTGCTCTCTGGTTCTAATATATTTGAATAGTTTTCACTAATGATTTATCGAAATATGATATCCAGGCCTTTTTTTAAGGACACTAATTTCTGGTGGTCTGATTATTATTAGATTATTTCTTTGACCTGTTTTCCTGGTCAGTTTTTTTTCATAGCACATATTTTATGTTTTCTTCTATTTATCCATATTTGAGCTTTTTGTCCCCTACCAATTCTTGTCTCATGGAATCATTGTTTTCTATTATTCTAATTATCAAGGAGTTCATTTCAAGTGTAAGTTTTTTTCTGGGGGGGCTCACTATTTGTTCTAAAATAAGAGGTAGGGAGAGAATTAGAAATTGAGATGATCAGGAAAGGCTTTGTGTAAAAGGTGGTGCATGAGCAGTGTCTTGAAGGAGGGGAGAGATTCTATGAGGTAAGGAGGGAATGTGTTCTAATCATGTCAGTGCAAGGTACAGGATAAGAAAAAAGAACACAGTATGAAGAACAGAGACGTCAGTCTGGTTGGATCACAAAGTGTAAGAAGTGGAGTAAAGTATAATGAGGAGAGAAAGATAGTTTGGGGACAGCTTATGAAGGGATTTAAAAGCCAAGTAGAAGAGTTTATATTTTATCCCACGAGCAACAGGTTGGCATTGGAGGCTCATTTTGGCACCTGTGTTGAAGACATATTGGAATGGGGAGAAAAATGAGGCAAAGCACTAGAAGATCACTGCAATTGTCCTGGTGAGAGGAAAGGATTATTTGAACTAAGGTAATGGCCATGTGAATATAAAGAAGGGTCAGATGGGAGAGATGTTGTAGAGACAGAAATAGTAAGATCTAATTAGACAAATGGGGTAGGGGAGAAAGATGAGTTGAGGATAATTCTGAGACTGTTCTTTCTGTCTGTCTGTCTAGCAATATATTTACTATCAATCTAAGTAATAATTCTTATAATTTTAATATTTTGATGTGTTCTTTAGACCTTTACAGAGATATTGATAGTTATAATGGCCAAGGTATTGTGCATTATGGTGTTTCTATGACAACTCTGAACGAAGTATTCCTAAAACTAGAAGGAAAAACAGCAACTGATGAAACAGGTAAATAAAAATGCTGGAAATTAACAATAAAATTATCACTTGAAATGTATGAGCCAATGATTATGTCTTGGCTGGCAATGGCCCCACAGCCAAGGTTCTATGTTCATTCTGTGAACTTATTTTTTTCTTTGCAGTCTGTTAAAAAATTGAAACTTGTATAGCTACTTATACTTTCAGAATCATTATTAAATTCGTATGTTAATATGTATGTTAGCTATAAATTATTTACAAATTTTTTCACCAGATATAATTTAATTTTCATAGTATGTAAAGATTTTTCCCAAAGGAATAACTTAGAGGTGTCATTTCACAAATTATAGCAAATGTGTCTCCAGAGATATGTTTGTGAGAGATACAATTCTTGAGTCCTTTTAATAATACTATATAAGAAGTTGTCTATACTGCTAATGCAGTTTAATTATTATTTAATTAATTAGTTTAATTTAACTAATATTCTTTGAACCTGTGCCAACTCACTGTGCTTGAGGACCTGGAGGTTAACAATAAATAAAACATAGTTAATGAATAAGATCAGACCCTGAATTAATAAATGTCTTTGACCTAGTGCCTGCTTAATCCCCTACAACAACCACCATCATAACATCCTACCTCATCTCATGATCTTTCACTGGTATAACTGAAATGCAGGTAATCCCTTTCCCAATCCCCCAAGCTAACACCCTCAGTGTTCCATTGCTTCTGTGTCTCTTTCTCCAGGCCCATTTTCCCATACAATCATCAAGGTAGGCAGAATTCTCTGGGAGAATTGGCAGTGCCAACTACAGTTGGCAACACCCCACTCCAATGCACAATTAAAAGTTTTTCTACAAGCAAAAGCACTCCTAGTTATAGATCTGTACTCATGAACAAAAACAAACAAAAAAATCCAAACCAAAAATAGATACTCTTTTACTTAGCCTTGGATCTGTGAACTTGATTTTCTTTATTTGTTCATTTTTAATATTTTGGTGACTTTATTTTAACAAACTTGGTTTCCTTTATATTCTTATGTTTTTATTTTATGAATTTAAAAATATCCTGAGAAAGGGTCTGTAGGCTTCACCGCACTGCCAAAGTAGCCAATGAAACAAAAAAGGTTAAGAACTCCTGCTTTAGGTAAATACATTTTCAAATGACTTGAAAGAATAAAAGTATTTCTCAAAGACAAACTCTCAAACAATTATCCTTATTCTTCAGGAATAATTTAATTTAATTTTGCTCAGCGTTTGGATTTTTTGACCACAAATAGTTTATGGAATTACAAAAAAATTACAAAAAACTATAGTGTCTATGTACATGTCTTATTTTTCCTTCCTCAAAAGTAAGTTCCTTTATCTCATTTAAGTTTTTTAGTTTCCTCTATGCCTCACATTCTCTCTTGGATTTGTGTTTTTTAAGGCACTAAATGTTTGAACATGAAGTCAGCTAACATTTAGATAGCTATTTAAGGTATGCAGAATGCTTTATATGTGTTCTCATTTAGTCCTTACAACAATCCTATGAGATATGTTTTATTAATGTGTCTTATAGATGGGGAAGGTTGAGGGAGGTTAAGTGACTGTCCCAAGGTCACGTGGTTAGTAAGAGTCTGAACTTAGATCTTCCTGACTCTAAGTTCCCCATTCTCTCCACTGTGCCACCTAGCTGCCTTATTGACATAATTTGTTCTGTGCTTTATGTCATGACCATGAAGATTCTAGGGCTTTTTCGATATCCTCAAAAAAGAAAACTGATGGATTTAGAATAGCATCTTACAAGTAGCTTATTTTGTTTTGTCTCTTTCTCAACTTGCCTACAGATTTTGGCAATTGGGTACAGGCTCAAGCAGAAGTGAGAAGAAACTCTGAAGACTTTGTTGAACTTGACCAGCCTCTCTCTTCACTACCTGGAAGGAGTAAGGTGACACTCAGTCCCATGGCTCTGTGGAGACGACAAGTCTGGGCAATAGCAAGGCTTCGATTTTTAAAACTAAAACATGATAGAAAAACTTTTCTGGCCCTGTAAGTATTAAAATATCAGCCCTTATTTCTCCTTAAATATATTATCAGAACTCTAATGGAAGAAGGGGGAAAAATTTTTTGCTCCAGCATTTCCCACCACTCCTTAGGGTTTAGTAGAGTAGGGGGTCAGGTTCAATAGAAGAGCCACAGTCAGGGGAGGATGTGATCCTTTTATAAAATTGGTGAATCACAAGGAAGAACATATAGTCTCTCTTCTACTAACCAGCATAGTAAGAAACAAAGTTAGAACTCAAACCCAGTTTTTTTTTTCTGGCCTCCAATCCAGTGCTCTTGCCATCTGTATGGTACTGGACAAGTCACTTCAGGGTTCTGGGGCTCAATTCCCTCACCTGCAAAGTGAGGGAATTATATTTCATGATTTCTAAGCTAAGGTCTCAATCTTGTGATACTATGTCACCTCATCATAACAAAATTAGAGGAAAATTGAACGAGACTCCTTTCTTGTCTATTTATAGGCAAAATTCCTAACCAAAACTAATCAAGTAAGAACAGAAGTGATCATAAAAAGGAAAACATCCAATTTCTGCTATTTGTTGTTGTTGTTTGTCCTTTGTTTTTGAAGAGGACACCAGGAAGGTGATGTCTTGACTTGCAAGTGAATTGGATTCAAGTGAGGCAGAGTTGTGCAATGTCACTGGTCTTACTTTCTCCTCTGAAGCCATCTGGGTCCAGTGAAAAATATAGATCAGGACAACTGGATATGGCCCAGGATGCAGTGGAAGACCGTGGCTTGTTAAGTTAAGGTCTTTCCAAGTTTTCACTTTGACTGAGGCAACAATGCCAGGTCAATGATTAGGGCTGTTTAAGATGTCAGCCAAGGGATGGCCCTTTTAATCCAAAAAGAAAAAAAAAAGAGCAAGGTGGGAGGGGAAAACCCTCTGGGTTTAAAGCCAAAGTACAAACAATTACTGTTTATATTCACTCTAAGCCATCAGGGCCGTAACAGTAACCATTAAATCATGTGTGGGTATTGTTGACCTATCACAAGAATGAAGGACAAAAGAACAACAACCATGGATTTCTTAGTTGATTTTAGTGTATTTTGACACCAAACACTTTAGGGCTATTTCTTTTTTGTTTTTATCAATTTTTTTCTTCATCTGGAGCTCTTTTTTTCACCTTTGCTGAGGTGTTTCTGAGGGAAGAAAGGAATGGCTAAAAGTTTTCATATTCTTAGGCAGAATTCTCTTTTCTTCTTCCACTGACCCTCACTGTATGACCTGATAGTTTCTGTCTCTATTATTCTTTGGTGAATTACAGGGAAGAACATACAGTCTCTCTTCTACTAATCAGCATAGTAAGAAATAAAGTTAGAACTCAAACCCAGTTAAATAGCTTTCTTTTTCCTCAAAACATCCAGCTCTGACTTTTTCAGGAGGAGTCTTAAATCTGTTTTTGACCTTTAAGCTTAACTCAGTCCTTTTCCTTCCCTCTCTCCTTTTTGTAACACTTCCGCTCTCTTACCTCCCAACAAGAGTCATCTCCACTGCAAATCCTTTTTTTCCCATTGAAAACTTATTTCTGTTTCCTTTAGAAATGCTTTACTGTCCCTAACAAACTGAGGTGTGGAGTGACCTAGATTTGGACTATTGACTACTATCACAAAGCTATAATACGAATACAAACATTATAGCCCCAATACAGGTCACTGAACAATTCTCTCTACTCTCCAATGTTAAATTTTCAGCCCATTTGTTAGACAAGTGAACACATCGACTACACTATTTCTCAGGTAGGAGACACAGGAGGGTTTCTAGCACCTCTCTCACTAGCAGGTTCACTTTTGATCCGATCAGACAGGAAGACAGGAATGGAGTCATAATAAGGGGTGAAATAAGCTTACTTTATTCTAGTCTAGTCTTCTCAAAAGAAATTTGCTAATAATGGGAGCACCAACTCCTACGGCACTCCCTAACAACCCTTCTTGCAAGGACTGACATGAAGATTCTCCCCACGCCTTGATGGGGGCTGATTAAGGCAGGTACATGCATTCCTCTATGCATTACTCAAATCCCCAAAATGGGTTCCCTCAGTCACTGATCACTTGCTTTATAGGGCAACAGACGAAGAAGGCATCTTGCCAACATTAAGCTCACAGGTTAACTTTAGCAATATCATCATGACCTAGCACAATGCAGATGTACATTATGTCATCCCTATATCTCACTGCATGAGTGTGGTAGAGATGTTTTCAACCATAATTCCTGAGAAATATTATCTGGGATCCTGGAACTATTACCTAAAAAGAATAACAAAATCTTCCTTGTACACACTAAAATTCACCTTACTTATATCATTTTTATTTGTTTATCTGATTCAACTGCTTTTGAATGTTTGCACTTCTCTAAGCACTTGGTTAAAATGGTAAGAGCCAATTTTTGTTGTTCAGCTGTTTCATTTGCATCCAACTCTTTGTGAGCCCATTTGGAGTTTTCTTGGCAAAGATACTAAAGTGGCTTGCCATTTCTTCCTCCAGCTAATTTCAGAGATGAGGAAACTGAAGCAAGCAAGGTTAAGTGACTTGCCCAGGTTCACACAGCTAGCAAGTGTCTGAGGCCACATTGGAGCTCACGAAGAGGAGTCTTTCTAACTGGCACTCTATACACTGTGCCACCTCGCTGCCAAAAGCCAGTTAACTCCACTTAGTAACTTGAAAACACCCTTTTCTATCTTTTACATCTGTTTTCACCCACCATTTCATTCCAACCATTTGCTTACCTCTCTAATTGTTCAACTTAAGTTTTTCTTTCTGCCTTGCCTACTCTTGCCAGCTAACTTCTTTTCTCCTTGTTTTCCTCTTCAAGTCCTCCTTGATCCTTCTTAATATGCCTTAATCATTTTCTATCCTCCTTAGTTTTCCTAGATCCTTCCCTTTATTCAATCTTCTTAGAGAGAACCCTAAAGTTTCTGTGCCTTTATCTGAACATAAAGATTATTCTCTTGCAAGTTTTCCTCCATCTTCCCCAAAATTTTGCTCTGAAATTAAATGCCTTGCCTTCTTCACTAGTCCAAACTTCTCTCAATCATGCACACAATTTCTTCCTTTTTATCTGTCTCAAATCCTTTACTCTTCTCTCAATCCTTCTCATACAATCTTCTCCCATAGAAGCCAGATTCACAATAGAGGTAATTATCAGTGGAGGCTTATGAGCTATTTTTCTGGTGTAATATTCACCCGTACCATGAGTCAAACCTGGGACAGGAGACTATGTATGAAGGGAGCTCTGAGTGCTATATGTAAGAAAAAAAAATTGGCTGCTTTTGTGGTAAAGGTAAAAAAGAAACAAAAACCTCTGAAATGTGTTTGGGTACCATTATGAATGCTCACGAGCATTTCCTTGTCCTGTACCCTTAAAATAGCCTTGTTGGCTCCTCACCTTTGCAAAAGTGTGGGAAGAAGCCATGAATGAGAAATACCAAGAGGGATAAGCCAATTAATGACTAATAATAACAACAACAATTAGCATTTAGTGACTTGCTTAAGATTGTACAGTAAGTATCAGAATTCAGGTCTCTCTAACTCCAATTTCAAAGCTCTGTTCACTGTGATAAGACATCTCTCCCTACGTAGTCAATTAGTTGTATGACAATACAGAAAAAAGCAAAAATTCATCAGGAGGTGACTGGATTCTCTAAAGAGTAAGAGAAGCAGTGAAAAGTCATTTTTGCTGCAGAACGCCTGGAAGCTGACAGCTTTGTAAGCCTCTCTTGCCCATTGGGCCTAATAAATATGAACTGGTAATTTTTCTTACATTTGTATGTTTTGAATATGAAGATTTGAAAGGAATATAGATTTAGAGCCGGAAGGGCCCTTAGAGACCATCTAGTCCAACTCTTATTTTAGACTTAGGTAAACATAGTCATAGGGAAGTTGAATGATTTGCTTATGGCCATATAGTCAATAAATAGTGTAGTCAAGATGTGAACCTAGGTTGTCTGCCTACAAATCTAAGTTATTTTGCACCATTCCATGGTTCTTCCTTCTCCTCTTTGAATACATATTCAAATTTTGATTTAGCCTTATATTGTGAATGAGTAAGCCAAGGAAGCTATACTTCTCTCCTTTCACATGTCGTAGGAAAATTTGTATGCATTTAATAATCTAATGGAAGTAGGGGAAGATGCTATGACGTACCTGCATATAGCAAGATTGATATAATACACATTTTTTTTCTATAAAGAAGAAAAAACCCCTGCCTATGTGCCCCCTTGTTACTTATTTTCCTATTTAGATTACTGCTGTTTGGATTGGCTTCAATACCTTACCTTTTAGATGTGCTAATTTATAAAATACTTCGTCAAGAAACTTCTTGGGGACTTTCACCTAAAACGTATTTCCTCTCTCCTGGACAATATCCACAAAGTCCACTCACCAGCCTATTGATTATCAATAACACAGGTAAAGAAATCGGGCTAAAATTTAGCCTTAATTTTATTTATTTTTTTTTGTTGAAAGCATGTACCAAGCATGTTATAAGTGTGCTCAGAAACTTAGGAAAGGTCTATACACATATATACATACTAATACTTTCTATATATTATAGATTTAAGTGCATGTGTGTGTGTGTGTGTGTGTGTAGTGTGTGTGTGTATATATATATATAAAACTATCATAAAACCCTACACACACACATACACACACACACACACACACACACACTGTATTAGTTTTGTTTGTTTGTTTTTAGGGAATGAGCTTGTGGAAGAAGGAAGGCTGAAAGACTATAAAACACAATAAGATAAATTAAATTATGTGAAATTATAATTCTAAGGGAGATTTGTTTAGGAAAGACATTTTGACAAATCAGTTATCCTTGCAACTAATTGTAAGCAGATGGTAGAGATGATTTAAAAAGAAAAAGAAAAAAAATCCTTGCTGAAGAATCATCTAAAATTGAGTTTCATCACTCAAAATCTAGGTCATGAGAGGGTTTTCACACTCAGTATCCAAATGTCCTAAATCAGAGGGTTCTAGATGCATTTATGTAGGAAAAAATCATGTTTCACTTCTACAATGTTTGCCATATTAATATTCACTGAGTTATTTGCACAAGCAAAGTTTAGGGGGCACAAATACATTAAACAAACTAGCCTGGTCCTTACAGTTGTAAAGAGCCTCTTTCATTCTTCAATGTCATTCTTGTTGCCATAAATATAAAACATCTGATAAAGCATAATAGAATATGAGGTGGGTATAATGATAAAATTTTCACATTTTTATTTTCACATTCTCATGATGACTTCTCTTTGTTTATAATTTATTAGGGTCAAACATTGAAGATTTTATAGATTCTTTGAAGCACCAGAACCTAGTTCTGGAAGTATGGGATTTTGGAAACAAAAATGGCACAGATGATCCATCGTACAATGGGGCCATCATTGTATCAGGTAAAAAGGTATGTCAGTCTCCAGTTTACTAGCTGTCAATGAGTCAATGTTACCCAGAGGGGGTAAACAGAACTCTCAGTTGAGAGGTGGGGAAGGGGAGACAGAGACAGACCACAGGAAACTAGTATGCCACTGAAGAGGAAGCTTCAAATACCCTCTCTGAGGAACTGAACTATTTGGTCTTATTTTAGCTAATTATTCTTTATAGCTAGAGGATAAGGTCAGATTTTTTTTAACCCTCTGTCCAATTTGTTGCCACTCTTTATAGCAAAATATTTAAAAGAAAGGAAAAAAATGAAAAAGAAAAAGAGTCAGTTCAGCAAAACTAACCAATACTTCAATGGATTCTGATATTGTTACTCCATCCATAGTCACCAATTTCTGAAAAGGCAGAGATCAATTTTCTTATCTCTTCTCTGGGAATGCTAGGTTTTTTGTTTGTTATTACTATTTCCACTTATATTGTTATAGTTGTGTGTTGTTTTCCATTTTGCATCAGTTCATGTAAATTTTCCCATGTTTATCTGAATTCTTGATATACATCTTTTCTTACAATACAGTGGCATTCCATTATATTCATATTCTACATTAAAAAAGATCTTTGCTTCTAGCTCTTTGCTATCACAAAAGGTGCTGCTGTGTAAATTTTAGTACACATGGGAATTTTTTTGACCTTTTACTTCCTATGAAGATATGCCAATGAAATTTTTGGGTTGAAATATATGAACATTTTAGTTACTTTCTTAGCATAATTTCAAATGGCGTTACAAAATATTTGCACTAGTCATAACTCCATGGATATCCTGTCTTTCTGTAGTTCCTCCATTTTAAAAAAATGTTTTCCATTCTTACAGTTATTTCAATTTGCATTACTCTGGTTAATGATCAGATTAAATTTAATTAAATTAATTTTTTTCCAATTAACAATTTGGAACAAACTGGCATATCAAAAGTTTGCAATTCTTTTCAGAATTGTTTGTTCATACCCTTTGACTTCTCATTAATTGGAGAATAACTCTTTGTTTTTTACATTTGATTCAATTTCCTATGTACTTTGGCTTTACCTTTATAAGAGATATTTGATACAAAGATTCTGCCCTCCTTCCCTTTCAACTCACTATTTTTTTTCTTATTGTACATGTATTGATTTGGTAAATGCAAAATGTTTTCAATTTGATCTAGTCAGAAATATCCATTTCATATTTTGTGATCACTCTTCCTTGTTCAGTTAAGAGCACTACCCTTAGCCATAACTGTAAAAGGTATCTAATTTGATTCTCTCTCTCCTGCACTTAATAATCTAAGTGCATATTATGAGATTATTGTGCTATCTGGTGTAAGGTATTGGTCTAAACCCAAATTACTTCCAAACTTTTATTTTTTTCAGTTTTCCTTATAGTTTTTGTCAATACAGAGTTCCTCTTCCACCCCAATAGTTTATGTTCTCAGGCATACTGAAAATGGCATTGATGCGATTTTTATGGGTACATGGACCCCAAAACTATTGAGGTTCAGGGCAGAGTTGTCTGGAAAGAATTCAAGGACTCAAGCAGTCTTCCAGTCAAGTGGCAAAAAATTTATTGTAACACTCACTACAAAGCAGGTAACTCGCAACCTAACAGGAGTGATGCTAAAGCTTATGCAGCAAAGATACAGTGAATTGTATGTCAAGTATGCTAATTAGGTAGAGGGCAGGATCAAGGGGTGGTCAGTTCCTAAAGGAACATACAGTTGCTATATCTTGGGTATAGGCATCATTCACTATTGGAATGACCTGGGGAAGGGGTTTCTAAAGGGTTTGTATGTCTGCTTTGGGAGTTTACGACTATGGCTTGACCTCTGGATTGTGTATGGTAACTGTGATCCCCAAAGTTGTTTTTCTTTTTTTCTTTGAATATTGTTCTCAGTGTATAAATTTTTGGACTCACTTAACTCTGCATCAATTTGTGGAGTTCTTTCCAGTTTCTTCTGAAACTGCCTATTATATCGTTTCTTAAAGGCACCATAGTAATTATATTACTTAATACCATAATTTGTTTAGTCATTTACCTAGATGAGGCTGCTACAAAAAATCTTCCATAAATATTTTTATGCCCATAGGTCTTTTTCTTCTTTCTTTGACCTCTTAGGGCTGAGTCAAAAGCTCAAAGTTTAACAGCTTTTCAGAAATAGTCCCAAGTTGCTTTCCAGAATGGTTGAACCAATTCACAGATCCATTACTCAGTCAATCTTAACTCAATCATCTTTCTAGAGGCAGACAACAAACTTGTTACAATTGTCAAAATTAATACAAAGCTAAAATAAAAGAGACTATGCGTGTGCGTTCACACACACACACACACACATCTGGTATATAATTAAGCTACTTCCAACATATCTCATTCAAGGTAGTAATTGAAGACTCTCCCCTCCTGTCCATGGAAAGTGAACAGAAAATACATTGATGTGTATTGTAATAATTTCATATGGAAGTTTATTCAGTATAAATCAAGTGGCATAGTGACAAAACCAAAATACTCTAGAAAACAGCTCAGGCAGCACATATTTATTCTGCAGACACATATTTGTCCAGCAGAGAACTATGGCAGGCAGTAGGACCATACTGGTTTAGAATATAAACTCATTTTTAGGTTTTTATGGAAAAGAATAATTGAAGATTCTGAGACCTATTTCCTCCTGTGAAAAACAGCAGAGGTGAAAATCAAATTTCAAGAGAGCTTGATAAGTCAACCAATTAAGCAATAATATTGAGGATATATAATTATAGATTTGGAAAGAGAAAGAAAAGGAGAAATGAAAAATATCTGGAGAGATTTTTTTTAAACAAATTTTTTTTCACTATCAAGGAGAGTAAAACAATGAAATTTGGATTTTATTGTCTGTTCTAGAAGTGTTGTTTAAGGCTGTGAAAAAAAATGACACTGAAGCAAACAAAGATGAGATGAGCAGCTAGTCTAGACTAGATTCAATCAGTAGAAATCTGTGATGGTAGCGACACAGTTTTGAGAGCCTTGAGAGGATCAGTTCCCAAAATATCTAAAAGAAAGGGAATTACTATTTTTTGAGAAAAATCTAGCACTTTCCCTATTGTCACACACATATATACACACACAGGTGATCAAAAACATTTTAATAATTACTGATCCATATAATTCATGCCAAAATTTTATCATGTTCATATTGAGGATATATTTGATGACAGAACAAGCAGGATTTTGCAAAATGGTATCTCCAGTTGAGCAAATCTTTACAGACATATAATTGACTAAAAAGTATAGGAGACATAAAATATCACTATGCTTATCTTTTGAAAGTTTATTTTAAGAAGCAATTAATTTAGTAGAGCAAAATATCAATATAAAACTCTCTTCCAATAAAGGATCTCTCAAAAGTATGTCAAAATCATACAAGATTCCTTGAAAGAAGTAACAACAGAATTTTGTTTGAGTTCATTAGTAATATCGAGTGAGCCATAAATCATATAGTTGAGGAAGATATTTACCATTGGTACAGTCTAGGGCAAAGTCCAAATAGAAGACTAAATTCCTATTAATAACAGGAGTTTCTAGTTACTCCTATTATTAGATGATGTGGTGATTGCATCAATTTCTAGAACATTGTACAAATTAGATTCATAAGCACTCAAGAGTTCAGCCTTACTATCCACATGAGAAAAAAAATAATGGATGGAGGATTTATTTCTGACTATTTCTGACTCAGTGATAAAAAGCTGGGGTGGGACTGCAGGAATAAGTAGAGTCTACACAAATGAGATGTAGACCTATACTTTAGTCTTTTTTCCTGATCTTTATCTAGGTCACACCTACTTAACTATAAGTGTCTCCCACAGCTCTGTCCTGAGGTTTTTCCCTCTTTTTCCTCTATGCTATCACACTTAGTGATCTCAGGGGCTCCCATAGATTTAATTATCATTGCTATGAAGAAGATTACCAGATCTAAATATCCAGTCCTATTATCTCTTGAGCTCTAGTCTGGCATTACAATAATTTGACTTTAAGGTGAGGTTCTTAAGGGAAAAAAAATATTTAATGAATCAAAATTTACATTCCTTTGGGCAGAGCACACACAGGTAAGGGTATGACACCCTATATGGAAAGAGGGAATGGGAAGAAGGAAGGAAAGAGAGAAAGAAAGAAAGAAAGAGAAAGAAAGAAGAAAGAAAGAAAGAAAGAAGAAGAAGAAGAAAGAAAGAAGAAAGAAGAAGAAGGAAGGAAGCAATGAAGGAAGGAAGGAAGGAAGGAAGGAAGAAGGAAAGAAAGAAAGAAAGAAAAAAGAAAGAAAGAAAGAAAGGAAGGAAGAAAGGAAGAAAGAAGAAGAAAGAAAGAAAGAAAGAAAGAAAGAAAGAAAGAAAGAAAGAAAGAAAGAAGGAAGGAAGGAAGAAAGGAAGAAAGAAAGAAAGGCCAGTTCCAGTTGGGTCCCCAGGAGGGCAGCTCCTATTTTCTTTCTTTATTTCTTTTTTTTTTTAATAATTAATTAATTTACTTTCAGTTTTCAACATTCACTTCCATAAGATTTTGAGTTTCAAATTTTCTACCCTTCCCTTTCCTCCCCTCATCCCTCCCCAGACGGTGTGCATCTGATATAGGCTCTACTTATATATTCATATTCAGCATATTTTCCCACTAGTCATGATGTAAAAAACAATTAGAGCTGATGGGAGGAACCATGAGAATGAAGCAATAAAACAAGACAACAAAGGAAAAGGAGAGCAAATAGTATGCTTCCATCTGCATTCAGACTCCATAATTCTTTCTCTGAATGTGGTTATCATTTTCCATTATGAGTCTTTTGGAGTCATCTTAGATTCTTCCATTGCTGTGAAGAGCCAAGTCTATCAAAATTAGTCATCGCACAGTGTGGCTATTACTGTGTACAATGTCCTCCTGGTTCTGTTTATTTCACTATGTATCAGTTCACGTAAGTCTTTCCAGGTTTTTTTGAAGTCTGCCTGCTCATCATTTCTTATAGCACAATAGTATTCCATTAC